GGACCTGTGCATGGGCAGGGGGTGCTCAGAGGCAGCCCCCACCCCACCCCGTGCCGGGACGGCGTCCCAGCCCAGGAGGGCCGTGAGCTGTCGGGGCCCGGCCTCAGCCCCCTGCTCTCTGCCCACAGGGACCTGCTGGGCAAGGACCCCCAGGAGAGGCTGGACATCAAGCTGAACCCCGACGGCAGCGGGCAGCTCCATGTGCCCGGCCTCACCTGTGTGGAGGTGCAGGGCTTCCGTGAGATCAAGAAGGTAGCCAGGGAGGTGGGGAGGGGGTGCCCCCCAGACGGGTGGGGTTAGAGGAGGCAGGGTTTGGGGCTTGGGGTCAGTGCCCCCGTAGGAGAAGCCTTGGACCCACAGCAGGGGCCGCGGTGCTCCAGTCTGGCATGAGGGGGCGTTGTGTTGGGGGCAGGGGGGGCAGGCTGCTCCTGCCCAGCTCAGCGGGTGCCTGGTGCTGCTCCCTCCAGGGGTGCTGGGAGGGGGTCCTGGGGCCACCCCCCTCAGGCTCACAACCGGGCTGTGCTTGGTGGCAGATGCTGGCGCTGGGCAAGAGGAACCGGGCGACCCACTGCACCAACATGAACGAGCGCAGCTCCCGCTCGCACGCTCTGCTCACCATCACCATCACCGGCACCGACCTCGCCACTGGCACCAAGACCTCAGGTACCACGGAGCTGCCCTGCACATGGCACCCAGAGCCACGGCGGATCTGGGGTGCTGCAAACGGGGTGCAGGGGCGATGCCCCATCACATGGAGCTTTACAGGGCTGCCGGGCGGGGGTCGCGCCTGCGGGCAGCCAAGGGCGCTGCCCCGCGCCCGCTCCCGACTGCCACGCTCTGCGGGCAGGGAAGCTGAACCTGGTGGACTTGGCGGGCTCGGAGCGCGTGTGGAAGTCGGGGGCGCAGGGCGAGCGGCTGAAGGAGGCGCAGAGCATCAACAAGTCCCTGCTGGCGCTGGGCGAGGTGATCCAGGCGCTGCGCGCCAAGCAGCCCCACGTGCCTTTCCGCAACTCCAAGCTCACCTACCTGCTGCAGGACTCGCTGGGCCGCGGCAACAAGACCGTCATGATGGTGCAGGTAGGGGCAGCTGGGCCATGCCCCCGCCGGGCATCCCAGCCCAGACACCCCCCAGGCAAGCAGGATCCTGGCAGCGCCAGATCTTGCCTGAGGTGGGCTGCAGAGACCCCAGCCCTGACGGGGTCTAACTATGGGACCAAACTAGGGGGTCTTGGCCCTGGGGGCAGGAGGGGATTTCCCTGCCCCCCCAAGCTGTGACCTCTGTGCCATGCATGTGCCCCCAGATTTCACCTCTGCAGAGGGACGTGGGCGAGACCGTTTGCTCCCTCAAGTTTGCCCAGCGCGTCTGCAAGGTGGAGCTGGGCCCGGCCGCCCGCCGTGTCGACCCCTCGGGCCCTGGTGAGGCCTGAGCCCTGCGGCCATGAAGCCATCAGGTGCCCTCCTGCTGCCCCCTTGCCACCCCCAACCCCCAGATAGGGCAGAACCAGGGGCTGTAGGGCAGGTTGGCCCCGCTGCATCCAGGCCCCCAGAGCTGCAGGGCAGGGGCTACTGCCCCACGTCCCTCCCACCAACTGGGTGAGAAGGGAGCCAGCTCTGCCCCCTGCTCCCTCCTGGGTGGGGGTGAGGTGCCTGCCCACCCCCAGTCCTCGTAGCCCCCACCCCCAGCCTAGGGGAGCTCAGCATCCCCCTTTGCAGTGCTGGGACCTGTCCCCCATGGCTTGAGACCCCCCCAGCCCTCTGCCCAAGAGTCCCGGGGCCACCCCCCACATGTGCCTGAATGCACATGCAGCCTCATGTGTGCCCCCAAATGCCAGGGACCCAGCCCCCCACCCCCAGCAGCAGAGGGGGGCTCTGCTCTGTACCGCGTTGGGGAGAATAAAGAGGACCCTTTGCAACTGGACCTGGCACCGCTGCCTTCCTGGGGCCAGGGCTCCCCCCTCCCTGTGCCCCCAGACCTGCACACTTGGACGGGGGTAAGAAGCTGGGCAGCAGGGGGGGGGCAGGCACCACACACAGAGCGGGGTGCGCATCTCCTTCACACCTTTATTAGCAATCATAGCTGAGCTGTCACAAGCCCCCAGCCCTCGCTGCCGAGACCTGCTGTCTGGGAACACAGCCCAGGTGCAGCCCCACGCACGCTGCAGTGCGCACAGCCGTGGGGCCGGTGTCAGTCCTGTCCTGGAGTTGGGTCTGCCCCCCAGCGCTTGCTCCGGGCCCCTGTGGGCCGCAGCCTCGGCCACCCATGGCTCCAGCCAGGCTCTCGCTCGGGACCTGACCCCAGTGGGCCCCCAGTTTCGGTGCAGCCGAGGCCCTCAGAAGCCGGTGTATTGTGCCAGCAGGGCCCCACCGGGCAGCATGTACCAGGGTGGAGGCACCGCCCAGGGGTTGCCGTGGTCCTTGGGGGGCTGGAAGGGGCCATCCAGGTCTGGGGACAGCCCCAGGGGTGGGGGCACGGGCAGGCAGCCCCAGAAGCTGGGGCTGCAGAGGTAGGGTGGGGGCTGCAGCATGCAGCAGGGCAGCCCGGGGAGGGGTGGCAAGGCCAGGCAGGGGCTGTAGGGCTCCCACCACGGCTCGGGCACCAGGATCCCGGGAGACACGGAGCCCTCGGAGTCGGAGCTGCCGGCGTGGGGCGGCTGGGGAGGAGTGGGGGGCACCTGGCCCCCGTCTTCAGGGGGCAGGAGGGAGGTGCTGGAGGAGGAGGAGAGAGTCCGGGGCAGCCCGTGAGGGCGGGGGGCCTGGGGCCACAGTGGCGCCAGGCTGTCGCAGCTCCGGGGGGCCGGGCCGTCGGGCGCCGGGTTGGGCTCCCCCCGGGGCCGGTCTTGCAGCAGGGCCTGGATGGCGAAGGAGCTGTCCAGCCGGGCCTGGGCCTGGCCCTCGGGTCGGGGCGCGGAGCCGGGGTAGGGCCGGCCCTGCAGCACGTAGGGGCCCAGGTCGTGGGCGAAGGCGGCCGCGTCCTGCCGCGACAGGGCCGTGTTCTGCAGCTTGAGGGCGTCCGGGGGGATGCGGCTCACGTCCACCGTCCAGAAGTTGCCCTTGGCCGTGGGCTTCTCTGGGTCCTTCAGCATCTGCAGGAGGGGGGTTGAAATGGGGTGAGGCCAGGCAGGGAGACCCCTCTACCCCACTTTGTGCTCTGGAGTCCAAGACCCCCCCACCCCAGACGCTGGGCCTGTCACCAGCTGCCCCCAGTCACCCCCCA